TTCATTGGATGGAGAACACAGGTTTTGGAAGATTCTTGGGAGATTTTGTCTCATGGGACTGGAATGACAAAATTACTGCTGTTGAAACATATGATATAGAAATTATTTTCTCAAATTAAATATGTAAGGTTTACTATTAACTTCGGTTATGCATTGTTAAAGGGACCCTATAGGCACTCAGGGCCAAACTGGCCCACCAGGATACCGGGAAATTTCCCGGTGGGCCGTTGGCACCTGGTGCCAGGCAGGCAGCTGGCTGATCTGCGGCCGCAGAGGGAGCTCCTTTGGCGGCCGCAGGGGGAGCTGGCTGTTCTGTCTCTGCTCCCCCTCCCCAGCGTACTGCTTAATGAGACCGGGCAAACAGGCCCCTCCAAAAGCCATGAGGTCATTTTCGCCACATATCTCCCTCCCCAAGGGGAGACTAACCAAGTACCTGGCCTCCAGTCGGTCGTGCCTGAGTTAGTCGAGTAGCCAACCCATAAGCAAATACTGGTACTCTTGGATTCTCGGTTGTTCTCCGTCTGGTAGTTGATGTTACTTGGTGGGCAGAGACCAGCTGTGCCCTACTCTGCTGCCAGCGTTACAGCTGGGTAAGTGAGAGGGGTGCCAGTTCTAGGATTAAGGACAAGGGGAGGGCAGAGGCTAACTGCGCTTTGCCCTGGGGCCAGCGCTTCTGCTGGGGGGACTAGTACATAGTCCTGCCCTGTAACAAGGGGGCAGGTAGGGCAGAGGCCAGCGACGCTCTGCCCTGACACCAGCTCTTCTGCTGGGGTGGGGTCATCGACTACTACCCCAGGACTTGGTTGAGGATCTGCTGTAGAGAGGAGGGATTGCCTACCTCCTCCTCATGGCATTCCTGCATGGTTGGTTGGGGATCTGGATCAGCCATCCAGCATCAGTGTAGGTCTGGTGCAGAGACCACGGTACCATCTTTACCATTGGGGTCAGGGTTGCTGTCCCCCTGTGGTTGGGGAAAAGGATCAGTTGTCTCCCCTCCTGGTATCTCCGGCTGCTGTTGGAGAGGGAGACTAGTTGTCTCCTCTCCCTGAAACTCACTCTGCCGCTGGGGAGTGAGACCGGTTGTCTCCCGTCCCTGTAATGGAAACTGCCGCTGGGGAGGAAGGACGACACCTTCGGCTCCCTGTACTGGACACTGTTGCTGGGGAGTGAGACCAATTGTCTCCACTCCTGGTAGGATACACTGCCGCTGTGGAGAAAGACCAGTAGTCTCCTCTCCCTGCAAGGTAATTTGCCGCTGGGGAGGAAGGACGACACCTTCGGCTCCCTGTATTGCACACTGCCGCTGGAGAGAGAGACCGGTTGTTTACTCTCCCTGCAAGGTAAACTGCCACTGGGGAGAGAGACCGCTAGTCTACACTCCCTGTAGGATACGCTGCTACTGGGGAGAGAGACCGGTTGTCCCCTCTCCCTGTAAGGTAAACTGCCGCTGGGGAGAGAGGCTGGCTGCCTCCTCTCCCTGCAATTTACACTGCCGCCAGGGAGAGAGACCGGTTGTCTCCTCTCCCTGCAAGGTAAACTGCTGCTGGGGGGGAAGGACAACACCTTTGGCCCCCTGGGATGCACACTGCTGCTGGGGAGGTAGACCACTTGTCTTCACTCCCTGTAGGATACACTGCCGCTGGGCTCTCTCCCAATGTGCCAACTCACCTGCCACCCATGCTTTGTGCTGCAGTTCCTTGGTCAGTAGGGTCCTCATGGACTGTACGTATTTCTCACCTGGGTTGGGTCAGAAGAGAGCCAGCCGCCTCTTCAGGAAACTCTACCTCAGTGTAGCGGAGCGCCATGCATGCTCGGTGTCTTCAGGATGCTGCTCCTCGCACTAGGACGCCATCCTACCACTGCCACCAAATGTTACGGAGCTTCCTGTATCCCGGTTGGGTACCTCCGCCGACGGATGCTCATAGTGCTTACCGAGGGCTCCAAGCACTTCTCTAGACACCATAAGCATTGTAGACCCCACGAATCGCCGCAGCTTGGTCGGGGTCTCGCTGTCTCCTACCCACCCTGGACCTACGACAAGGCTCCAGGTTCCAGTGGGGGAACCTTTCTTCCTCCAGCAGGAACATCTCTTACAAGAGCTAAGAGAATCCAAGGGAGTAAATAATACTGTAACCTCCCACCACACCACTAGATCAAATATTATTGTTAGCATACATAAAAGTTGTTCACTTCATTTGAATTTGAGATTTCAACATCTTATAGGTCATTCATTTATTAAATTGCGATCTTAGAATTTCCATCTTACTAAAAGTTTCAGGGGATATTGTTTCTTTGTGTTTCTCTTCTAAACTGCATAATTATATTATGGTATCTACCATCTATTTCTATCTATCTATCTTTCTTTTTTCTTATTTTTTTTTTAAAAAAGGTTCCTAAATAAACCTCCTTATGAGCCTCCCATAGCGTTACCCTTTTAATGGCTGGGTTATTTTTAAAAGATAGTTGTTTCATTTCCAATTAAAATGTTTGTGTGAATTAGTCTCCAAATTAAGACTTGCCAAAACAGAAGCATGATGGTTCCATGTAATATTACCAAATGGGAATAATTAAGTGATTGAACTTTACGTGAAAAAAAAGGATATATATATATATATATATTGTTTAAGCTATCCTGTTCTATTATATACAGGATAATTTCTAAATCGATAGGTTTTAAGAATTTCTCAAGGTTTCTACCAAGATATAAGTAAATGATAGTAAATTGGCTTGGATTTTAAAGTGTCACTGTCACGCCGCACTCTTTTCCCAATGCTTATTCTTCTCTTCCTCTATCCTACTATGTCTTTCTTTCTTTTTTTCATTTTTAATCTATTTCTAACTAAACACTCAAAGCAGGGATTACTTTGTCTTATGTATTTTTTTTCTACGGCTGACTTTCTTAGTCACTGGGTAGAGGTACATTTATTTATTATTTATTTAGCTTGTGTTGGTTCATCTGCCCTTTTGATTATTTAAATAAAGTTGTTTTTAACAATTAAGTCAATTTCCTTAATTTTTGGCAACTTTTTGTTTTTTCAGTGTATATGTTTATCTGTTAAGTCTTTAATTGCCTTTTAGACCATTTTGTTGACAGTTCCAGTGCCAAAAGATTTTGCAGTAGTATTGAAGACTACCTATGCTACCAAGGGTATCTCTTCTGATAACTAAGACCTTCATTATACAGTGGGACCTCAGTTTACAAAATTAATCTGTTCTCTAGGACGTTTCTTATTGCAAAAAAATTGGTTCCCTTGGAATGCATTTGTTCCCATAGGAATGCATTGAAAACCAATTAATCCGTTCTGGAGGTCAGGAAAAAGTCTAAATGAGCTGGCATGGAAAGCAACCCACAATGCAGAACACACAATAAAAGGCATGCAAACAACGAAACTCAGCTCCCTACCTTTCCACAGCTTGAGAAATGCACCAAAAAGTCCCAAAACAACTGCAAACAATTTCCAGAACGGTTCCAAAACTCGATACAAAAGCCGCTCCAACACCTCCACACTCGACGCCACCTGTTACCCACAGGCTCCAGCATGCAGGGTGCGGTGCTATAATCCTCCCTGGTGCAATGCATTCTGGCGAAAATTGTTTGTATTGCGAAAAATTTTTGTAAACCGAGGCATTATTTTCAATGGATTTTCATTTGTAAACCGAAAATTATGTTAACCGAGTCATTTGTAAACTGAGGTCCCACTGTATTACACTTTTGTTTCTTTACAGAAGCTACTCTTACGACCAACTCTGACCTAACTCTTGAGATGAAGATGAAAAGTAAAAGGTGAGTTGAACTCAATAGGCCAGTTTGAAAACTCCTGATGCATTAGGTGACTATGAATAAGACTATACACGGTACTTTTAATAGTGCAAGAAACAGCTGGAAGGGGGAAAAAACAAACAAACAACGAACTAGCTAGTGCAAATAGAAGTTTTTAAATACACCATTCAAAACTAACTAGATATAGCATTGAAAATATTAAAAAAGGCAAAAGTGACACTGTAAAAACATCTTTCTAAAGAAGCCTGGGAAATGTAATTCACAAAAAGAAAATCAGTGGAACCAAATGGCAGGCTCTATGGATAGACAACTTATATTAATTACAGTACATATTATGTACTTAAGCAATCCCTGGTTAATCATCTACCTCGCTGAGTAGTTCTCACCATGTAGATGCTCTGCTAAGCATGAAACCCAGATTCAGGTTGTCTGTGATTGATTTTGAACCAGGTACCCAACGATCTTGTGGTGTGCTCCAGGACAGAGCAGAGAGACAGCCTTTTCTTCCAGTATTACCTGAATAGTAGAGCCATGGATTGTCTAGAGGGAAAGAGCTTCAGTAGAAGGGGAAGAATGCTTTCAATTCCTCCACAAATATCAGGCAGACACTTTTTTTTATAAAGTGTAGAACAGTACTGCTTTATTTAGACAGCCACATGGTTTTTAAACATGTCTGTGTACAAAAGTCAACCAATAACAACAGACTTGAAAAATCAACCAATCACATTAACAAGTTTAATTAACTTACAGCCAGTATGAACAGAGAACCATGTTTACAAAGAAGGGTGTGTAAAGACAATGAGAAGGGATGTGGACCACATGGGAGACTTAAAGGAGTGGAAGAGCAGCCAGTTTGGACTAGATTGTAAGTTTTCTCCTGGAACAAAAATAACAAGTGAGAATGGGAACACACAAAATGACAATCAATACATTCACACATTTAGAAAATAACATGAAGTAACTTTGGCCTGAATGTCCATGTACCAGCATTGACATTACAACTGATATCCATTGAGTCCAGTTTTATCCTTAACAGAGGGCTCTAGGAAAGAGATTGGCCTCCAAGCTCCTCCACAAGCCATATATAGTCCATATATAGACATGGGAGCACAGTTCCACTGGGCAGCCATCAAATGTTACAGTAGCTTTGCTTCATTTTCTTCTCAGCCAAGCACATATTCCAAATGTCTGAACATACGGTTCCTCTCATACATCAGGAATACTATTGTGACAACACATCTTTTACATCACATATCATTAAGTGGACAATCTAACACTTGGTGAATTATGTTGCATAATGATAGGAGAAGAAAATAGTGGAGAATCAAAAAGTGATGCCACCATGAATGCTTGGCTGTCACAAGCCATGTGATATCTTTACTGACACAAAACCCAAAGAGTAACAGGTACTTTTCATTGTGTGTATTCATACTGAAAATAAACATCAAGCAAGCTTTTGCCGTACAGTTTTGCACTGCTCTCTGCTGTGGCACTAAAAGAGGTAGAGAAACACTCTAACATTAAAATATCTGTATATGTAGTTATTTTTGAAGTTAGAGTGTTCCTTATTGTTTTTAGATTACTGGGTCTCCTTTTTAATATTAAAAAAATAAAGAATAAAACCAGAACAGTCTCTATAGCACAGACGGTCTGCCTCCAATGAAGTCAATGGTTCAGATGACTTTTGCCATCACCACACTCCACTAATTCAATGCTTCTCATCAGTGGTGAAACTCATGAAGTGAGTTCCCTGGTGCAAGAAATTTGTTTGGGCCCCACTCCAGGGTGGCCAAAAGGTAGATCCCCATCTGTTGTAAAACTCCCACAACTCTATGTTTGAATGAGTTTGATTGTAATCATGTTTTTGTATGACGTATGTGTGTGAAGTAAGGGATGTATTTGTGTGTACTATTTCCATTGGAATGCAATTTGTGTTTGAGTGCAGGGGTGTGTTTGTATGTAGAATAAGCTTTTAAGTGCAAGTGGACTTTTGTGTGTAATGTTATTGTTTGAATGAAGGGGTGTTTTTATATAAATGTGGCATTTACCACAGGGGTGTGTTTGTTTGTAATGTTTGCATTTAAATGGATTGGTGTGTTTGTATGTAGTGTTGACTTTTAAACGCTGGTGTACATTTGTGTGTAGTATTGGTGTTTGAATGTAACAGCATGCATTTGACTGCAGGGGTGTGTATGTAATGTAATGTGGTTTCATTACTGGGATGTATGCACCTATATACATACACATTGAGAAACACACAAAGATTCACACTAACACATACTCACATTCATACACACACATAAAACAGACTGGAACACACTTAAACAGACTGACACACAGATACTGATACACATGTCATATTGTTTATGTTTTTAACTACCCTCCTGTTAACATAGTTTTTCTCTGCAGTAGGGTGGCTTATCTGGGTTCCAGTTCATAAATGAGTCTGATGGGAGTGTGCATCTGGATGGAGCTGGGTCTCTGCCTCCTCCTCTCTACTCTTCCCTGTGCAGGCTCTCTATATGTATCTGGGAGTAATTGATAGGCACTTGCTTCCTCCCAGCAGTGCACTGGCTGATGAAATAGATGCCTGTTTAGAAATACCCATTGGGTGGCTCAAAGTGCATGGGCCACACGATGAACCCCCACAGTGTGTGGGCCCTGGTGCAGCTCATAGAGAAGACACTACAGGCATGCAGTACTATTAGGAAGTATATGTGGGTTTATGATACTTCTCTTTCATAATTACTGAGACCGGTATAACCAACAGGACATGAAGCCAACATGAAATTTGCCATGTAATATGAGAAATATTTGATTCAGATAAATAGTTTTTGCTAAGTGTGAATTTTAACAAATTTTAATAAAAGTGAAGCATTAGTAAACCCATAGTTCTAAGCACTATGCGCTAAAGTGAAAACTGTCAGGAATTTAAAGTGAACTTTAAGGTAAGGCCAAAATAGACAAATGTGAAAATTTAACTTACTTTAGCTAACTTACTGCAGCTTTTAATTTCAAATTCACTTTGAATTCCCAACACTTCTCACTTTAGTAAATAATCATGTGTGTATTTTCTGTGTAAGTCCTAATGAGTTACCATTGTGACAAACTATTTCCTTGCCATGGTTATCAGACACATCCACATCTTCCTGTAACATAGGACAAGGAACGAACATTGCTCATACGATAGGATATTGTCACACTGGGTGCTCAATCTATCTCTGTTTACCTCGTTTTTGTAGCATGAAGTAAGATGCTTGTGCCTGTTTTCACAATCACACTAAGGGGTCCTGTTGTACTCCATCTTCTCCTTGTCTTATGGATACAAAGTAAGTGGATTGTTTGACTAACTCTCTGTAATCATTTAACACCATTCAAGAGAGATGAATTTACTCTTTGGAATCTTTCTTTGGGTTGTTACATCTCTTCAGCCATCATCCAGAGTCTAAGAACTATTTTTTATTGCATAAACTGAATAGTTGTTATTTTTACATAAATATTCTTAATTTGTGCAATACTAGAAAACATTTCATATCACTAGGAAGATACATTTTCTAGAAGGCAAAATTACAATTTTGTGCAATTTAACCCTAATGATTATAATGTTCACTCTTCGCAATGCAATTTCTCGAGTAAGCAATCTGTGTCATTTTATTATGTTGCCTATGTTGTCTGGTTGTATTTGTTGTTTTGTTTTTTGTGTAGATGACCTACAATTTGATTGGACAATGGCTGTTTATATTTTGTTTTGTAGTTCTATTAGATGCACAGCAAACCATATCACATGCATTTTTCATTATCTATACTTTAAGCTCTGAAGCAATTTGTTGTCTGTTATGTATCTATGCTGTCTCTGTGACTACATACATCTTACTGCCTTGATGCTTCTGTCCAGGTTCCTCTAGCTCATTTTTACGTGAAGTCCATGCCATACCTGGGGAATCACTGAACATTACATGTCAATATTGTAGAGATATGCAAATTAATTCGGTGATCAACTGGTGTCGTCAGATGTCTGAGATGGATTGCCTTAATATTATGAGCTCAAGATGGATGACAAGACATACGCAAAAAAGACGAGTAACAATGACCCAGAAATTAGGAGAAGCCATGTTGTTTACAGTGACTATGATGCAGGTACAGCCTTATGATACTGGCCTGTACAAGTGGCAGAGGTGGACAGGACAAGATTACGAGGTCATAGAAAGCATCTTGTTACAAGTGGTGGAAGGTGAGCAAAAGTAGCTATGAAGGGTAAAGTAGTAAGAGACAAATGAATCAAGTCACTGTAATGTATGTGATATAAAAGATAAAGTATTATTAATAGAGCGTTTATTTAGCACTAACATGTTATAGAATGGGGATATTTGATATGTATTGACTTACAGAATATAACACAGACAAGAGGTGAAGGAGGCCAAGCTCAAACAAGCTTACAATCTACGAGGAAAGGGTCAAGAAGAACAAAAGAAGAAACAGCATGTCACAGGGGAGGAGAGATCAATGGATAAAATGCATGTGTCAAAAACTGCCAGAAAAAATGATGTGTGTAACAGTAGAAGGAGTGAGCTAAGCAATGGAGGCGAGGAAACTGAGGAGGACAATTGTTACGAGAGAAGCATCACCCAGGAAAATGTTAAGCTTTCCTAAAGAAGTGTGCTTTCAGTGAATTCTTAAAGGATTGGAATCTAGGAGGGAGTCTGATGACACGGGGTAGAGAATTCCAAGTAAACAGCACAGTCCATGAAAAATCATGCAGGTGAGAGTTGGCAATGCAGGGACAACCAGATGTCAGGACAAGGTCGTTCGTAGAGCGAAGGGAACAAGAAGGCATGTGTTTGTTGAGTAAAGAGGAAATGTAGCAGGGGTTGGATTTATTGAGGCTATGTAGGTCAGTGTCAGCAATTGGATCCTGAAGGGTACAGGAAGCGAATGTAATGATTGGCAAAGGTGTGAGGTGTGGGAGTAGCGGTCAGTCAGAAAGATGAGCCTGACAGCAGCATTCATTACAGACTGCGTAGGGGCAATGCCGTTATTTGAAAGGGCCAATGAGTAGTAAGTGTGTAACATGTTTAGGGGAAAATAATGGATTGTTTCAGGATTATTATTTCTTTGTAATTCCCCCCCACCCCCCCAAAAAAAATGCTTATTTTGCCCCCTTTCTTGCCTCTCAGGGAGGGGATGTTGCTTTCTGGTGGGCATGACCAAGTCTGGTAGTTAAGTGGGCAAAGCATGTTGTATAAACATTAAACCCTTCCGAATCCTGCAAAATCACACACCACAAACTCCCTTGTGATATTCCCTTGTTAAATGCCACCAATTCACCAAGTAAGCAAGTGAACAGTCAGTTCTTGAATTGTATGTGTTAAAAACTCGTAAAATGGGCAATCGAAAAGATCTGAGTGGCTTTAACCAAATAGTGATGGATAGATAACTGGGACAGAGCATCTCCAAAATGGCAAGTCTTGTGGGGTATTCCTTGTATGCAGTGGTTTATACCTCCCAAAAGTTATGCAAGGATGGAGAACCAATGAACAGGCGTCAGGGTCATGGGTGCCCAAACTCACTGATGCAAATGGGGAGTGAAGGATAGTTCTTCTGGTCCGATCACACAGTTCAGATTGCTGAAAAACTGAATGTTGGCCATGATAGAAAGGTATCAGAATACACAGTTTGCTGCGTATGTGGCTACATAGCCGCACACCAGGCACAGTGCCCATGATGACCCAGTCCACCACTAAAAGCACCTTCAATGGGAACATAAGTTTCAGAACTGAACCATGGAGCAATGAAAAAAAGATTGCCTGGTCTAATGAATCACAGTTTCTTCTAGATGGATGCCCAAGTGCATTTGCGTTGTTTACCTGGGGAAGAGATGACAGCAGGATGCACTATGGGAGGAAGGCAGGCAGGCGAAAGCAGTGTTATGCTCTGGGCAATGTTCTGCTGGAAAACCATGGGTCCTGGCATTCATATTGATGTTACTTTAACACTTTCCTACCTTAGAGATTGCTGCAGACCATGCACACCATTTCAAGACAATGATGTTCCCTGATAGCAATGGCCTCTTTCAACAGGATAATTTACCCTGCCACACTGCAAAAAAATGTTTAGTAATGGTTAGAAGAATGTGACAAAAAGTTCAAACTGCTGCCTTGGCTCCAAATTCCTCAGATCTCAATCCATCTGAGCATCTGTGGGATGTGCTTAAACAAATCCAATCCTTGGAGCCCCAGCAGGAATTAAAGGATCTGCTGCTAATGTCTTGGTGTGAGATGCCATAGGACACGCTCAGAGATCTTGTGGAGTCCATGCCTTGACACAACAGAGCTGTTTTGGCAGCACAAGGGGAACCTACATGATATTCGATAGGTGGGTTTAATGTTGTGGCTGATCAGTGTTCATTTGTGTTTC